TGATGGTTTAAAAGTATGTTAAGCACACCCAAAGCTTTCTTATTTCCAGTTATTGTATTTTTTTTTTTTTTTTTTTTTGAGACAGGCTGGAATGCAGTGGTGTGATCTCGGCTCACTGCAACCTCTGCCTCCCAAATTCAAGCAATTCTCCTGCTTCAGCCTCCTGAGTAGCTAGGATTACAGGCGCTTGCCACCATGCTCAGCTAATTTTTGTATTTTTAGTAGAGATGGGGTTTCACTGTGTTGGTCAGGCTGGTCTCGAACTCCTGACCTCATGATCCACCTGCCTTGGCCTCCGAAAGTGCTGGGATTACAGGTGTGAGCCACCGTGCCCAGCCTGTAATTTTTAGTTTTAGAATATTTGTTCAATGATTTTTTTACAGATTCCAATTCTATACTGAAGTAAATTACCCATCTTTCATCTTTGTCCATCTTTTCTTTTATTTTCTTAAAACTATTAATTATAGTTATTTAAAGTCCTGGCCAATTCTAATATCTAGTTCTGTTTCTATTAACATTTTTCTCTTAGTGTTTAGTCATTTGGATTTGATCTTTTGCATGGCTCATAATTATTTTGTATTGGATCCCAGATACTGTATAAGAAAAAATTGTAGACTCTGGATAATATTATCTACCTCTAAGGAGTTTCTACTTTCTACTCCTGGAATGTAGAAAGAATAGTGGCAGATAACTTTGATCCTGAAAAGGCTTGGTTTTAGCTTTGTTAGATCTATTTTACTTCAGTATTATATTGCTCTTACTCCAAGGATGTACTGAGATCTCAACTGAAAACCCTGGGTATCTAGGTACCTTATCAAGGCTTGAAGTCCAACTTCTGTTGGATGCTGAAATCTTCACTTACTTCATTAGACCCTAAACTGCTGTTTTCTTTTTTTTTTTTTTTTGGCATCCTTCTTTGTGCATGCTGAGTGTAGGAACTTAGATCACTATCATGATGGCAATTTGCACAGATTGTTGAGCTCCTCTGCAATTGTCCCCTCTTGGAGTTTGCCGTCAATCAGAGGCACTTTGGTAACCCTCAACTTTGACCTTTGATATGATTTGGCTCTGTGTTCCCACTCAAATCTCATGCTGAACTGTAATTCCCACTGCTGGGGGAGAGACCTGGTATTAGGTGATTGGATCATGGGGGCAGATTTCCCCCAGGCTGTTCTCGTGGTAGTGAGAGTGAGTTCTCATGAGACCTGATGGCTTAAAAGTATGTGGCAGTTCCCCCCTCTCTCTTTCCTGCTCCAGCATGGTAAAACGTGCTTGCTTCCCTTTCACCTCCTACCATGCATGTAAGTTTCCTGAGGCCTCCCAGTCATGCTTCCTGTTAAACCTGAAGAACTGTGAGTCAATTAAATCTCTTTTCTTCCTAAATTATCCAATCTCAGGTAGTTCTTTATGGTAGTGTGAGAACAGACTAATACAGCCTTTTATTCCTCAGCCCAGAAAAACTGCTGTGTGTGTGTGTTTTTTGTTGTTGTTTTTTTTTTTTTTGGTTTTTTTTTTTTGGTTTTTTTTTTTTTGGCTTTTATTATCTTGCACTTAGTTTTGAGCATTCCCTCAAGAGAAATATTCCAGGGTAAACACTGAGTTCACCTCATGTGCCTTCTCTCCAGGATCATAGCTTTAAGCTCTGCCTGCTTTAGTTACTCTTCAATGCCTCCAAAGAATTATAGACACAGATATACAGATACTCCTAGGCTTATGATGGGGTTATATCGCAATAAAAAGAAGTTGAAAATATTGTAAGTCAAAAATGCACAAAATACATCTAACCTACCAAACATCATAGCTTAACTTAGCCTACCTTAAATGTGCTCAGAACACTTATGTTAGCCTACAGTTGGGCAAAATTTTCTAATGCAAAGCCTATTTTATAATAAAGTATTGATTATGTAATTTGTTGAATACTGTACTGAAAATGAAAAATAGAGTGGTTATATGGGTATTCAAAGTACAGTTTCTACTGAATGTTTGTCACTTTCACACCATTGTAAAGTCAAAAACATTTAAGTCAAACTATTGTAAGTTGGGGACCATCTGTATATGTATAAATGCATTATTAATGACAGGGATACATTCTGAGAAATGCATCATTAGACAATTTTATTGTTGTATGAACATTCAGTATATATTTACACAAACCTAGATGGTATAGCCTACTACACTCCTAGCCTATTGCTCCTTGGCTGCAAACCTGTACCGCATGGTACTGTACTAAATATTGCAGGCAATTTTAACTCCATGATAGGTATTTGTACATCTAAACATGGAAAAGGTATAGCAAAAATATGATATTATAATCTTATGGGACCACCAGTTGCATATGCAGTCTGTCGTTGATCAAAACTTTGTTATGAAGTGCAGGACTATATATATATACACACACACACACACACACATATGTATATGTGTACACATATATTTATATATATTTTATCCCTCCACTTTCCCCCTGAAGTGGAGGTTTAGTTTGATATATACTACTCTATGTTGGCTGGAGTTGGAGGTCTCAGTACTTCATAGCAGTAATGAATGCTATAGGTTTGCAGTAACTTCACTGAACTGTTTATCTGTCACAACTACAAAAGATGGCATATTCTCTATAAGTTATGGAGCCCCATTCCTTCTAATTTGTGTATTAGATAAAATCTACCATGTGTCTATGGGCAAAACCAAAGTCTGAATCTCTAAAATCTAAGACCATGATCAAAACTGGGTAATTTATCAATCTAGAGTCATATAATGGGGATTCCTTTTCAGCCTGCATTTGGATAAACCACATGAACCCAAGAGTTTAGCCCTACCACTCAAGGCCATTGTATATAGTTGTACAGGCTTCAGTGGGTAAGGTGCTATTTATATAGGTTAAATGGCGGTTAAGTGCGGTGCAATGTGGTGGCCTTGATACCACAAGTTTTTGTTTGTTTGTTTTTTTCTTAGATCTGAATTCCTTTGTTGGGGGCAAAGAAACTAGGGGCAACTGATCTGGCATTGCCTACCTATGCCTGACATGAAATTCACCAGGACCTCTCAGAGAATACCTTTAGTTAAATTAAGCCATAGGATTAGAAGCCTCATTGCAGAAAATCTGGTAAAGAATGATTGGGAAGTTAGAAAGTGTAGAAATCAAATGAATACAATATATTAAGCAAATTGGATGTGAAGGGAAGTGAGAGATATGGTGATAGGTAGAGAGGGAAGGGCTTTGTTTTAGGGATGAGGAGAGTTAAGCATGTTTGTGGGCTGGGGATAAAGCTAATGGAAAGGGAGAGGAAGAAGATACAAAAACAAGAAGAGATAATTACGAATTTTCTGGTAGAAGTTGTTTGATAAAGAGCCCAGATGAGACAGATTGGACAAAGATAAGGTGAGGTAAAGATAAAGCTTAAGTTAGGAGGCTTAAAAGAAATAATGGGCCAGGTGAGTGGCTCACGCCTGTAATCTCAGCACTTTGGGAGGCTGAGATGGGAGGATCACTTGAGGTCAGCAGTTCGAGACCAGCCTGGCCAACATGGTGTAACCACATCTCTACTAAAAATACAAAAATTAGCCGGGCGTGGTGGCAGATGCCTGTAATCCCAGCTATTCAGGAGATTGAGGCAGCAGAATCGCTTGAACCCAGGAGGCAGAGGTTGCTGTAGGCCGAGATCGCGCCACTGCACTCCAGCCCTCTGAGTGACAGAGTGAGACTCCATCTCAAAGAAAAAAGAAAGAAAAAAAATTAAAAAATTAAAAAATAAAAGAAAGAATGATGAGATACCTGAAAATTCCATTTTCTGGAGGCAGCTGGAATCACGATAGAAAAAAACCATTTAAAAATATAGTAAAGAGGCCGGGTGCAGCGGCTCACGCCTGTAATCCCAGCACTTTGGGAGGCCGAGGCAGGTGGATCACGAGGTCAGGAGATTGAGACCATCCTGGCTAACACGATGAAACCCCGTCTTCACTAAAAATACAAAAAATTAGCCAGGCATGGTGGTGGGCGCCTGTAGTCCCAGCTACGTGGGAGGCTGAGGCAGGAGAATGGCATGAACCCGGGAGGCAGAGCTTGCAGTGAGCTGAGATCATGCCACTGCACTGCAGCCTGGGTGACAGAGCAAGACTCCGTTTCAAAAAAAAAAAAGTATATATGTGTGTGTGTGTGTGTGTATATGTGTGCGTATACATGTGTATATGTATGTGTGTGTGTGTATATATATAGAGAGAGAGAGAGTAAAGAAGTAGAATTAATGACTGGATGAGATGGGTAAGGGAGAAATAAGTCCCTTACAACTTCTAGTTTGAGGATTGAGCAGCTGGGTAGACAGGGCTGGGGTTAAAACACAGAACTGAGCAACGGATTTGTAAGGAAGGATGAGCTGAGATGAATTCAGCTTTGATGGCATTCAGTCAGTCAACAATAATAGCTATTGCCTATGAACCTTGAGATCCACAGTGCCCAACTACAAAGATAAACCTTGCTCCCCCTCCCCTGCTGACCTTTTGCTATATGCAATAGTGTTGCAGAAACATTTTGCTTTGCTGGATGCAAAAGCAAACTAGTCTCTGTTTTCAAAGACATATGTTGGACATAAGAACTGGATTTTCGGAATGAATATTTACTGGATAATTTATTTAACTAATCAACTTCAAAAAAAGGTTAAAACACTTCCTTGGTTTATGGTGGATACCGAGCTATATATGCTTTACTATGAGTTCATGGAAAACTGAAATCAGTCTCAACTGAAATGAAAATTTAGGTTGTTTGGGAGAAAGTTTTTACAATTGAAAAACTAAAGGGAAAATTGAAAGGAAAAGATTTTAGGAAAGAGAGAGAAACAGGAAGAAAAGAGGCTAGCCAACAACCTGCAGTAATGATTCTTTGGAGCTAATAGGATAGGAAAAACTGGATAAATAATGACCTTTCATAATTTATTTCATAATCAGTATGACTGATACGGGGGCGCGGGGAGGAGGATGAAGCCGGGGAAACTATTGAGAGGCAGAAAAGGAGAAACTTCTTTGAGGTTGGAAATAAAGGGAAGGTGACACTGGAGCGGATAGAAAGGAAGAAACGGAGTGGGATCTGGGAATGAGGCAGTGGGTGGAGAGAGAATGGGGAGATGACAGATGATGAAAGGCAGTGAGTGTGTCTGCGGGAGAAGGACCAAAGCAATCTGGGCGGAGCAGGTGGCAGGGGCAGCCGCGGAGGAGGCCCAGGGAACTGACGGGAATGCTCAGCCAGGCCCAGAGGATGCGCCCTGGCAGTCCCGGAAGACACCAGGAAAACAAGCAGGAACCGTAGCTGAGACTGAGGTGGCCAGGCCCAAGAAATCCATGAAGGGGACAGACAGCGGGTCCTGCTGCCGCCGCCGATACGAGTTGGGCTGCTGCTGTCGCGCGTCCCGCCGGGCTCACCACGCGCCTTACCGTTCCGGGGACGCGACGCGAACCCCTCAGTCCCCGCGGCATCCCCCGAGCCGGGAAAGACGGCGCCCGGAGCCAGCCGGGAGCTGGGCAGCGGCGGCAGAGGAGGAAGAAGCAGCCGCGGCGGCCGCACCCTGGATGAGGTGAGAGCATGGCCAGCTCCTGCCTCTGGAGCCCCGGAGGCTGAGGAACGTGATGGGGTAGGCAATGCACGGTGCGGTGGTCAGGAGAACCGCGCGGAGGGCTGGGGCCCCGGGCTGGAGATCCCGACGCCTGAGAGGGGTTGGCGCTGAGTGACTACTGCTTGGAGAAGGTTAGGGAGGTAATGGGGCCCGTGGTGGAGGCAGGAGGAGGAGGGACAGTGTTGAGTTGCCCAGAAATAAAGGTGTGCCCCTGGAAGGGCTAAAGCGTGGGAAGCTTGGTCTCTGTCTCAAGGTCTTAGCTTGAGGCATAGACATTTGCTGTGTTGATGGAGGTGAGACTGCAGGCTGTGTCTGTTGGACTGAGCCAAAGGAGAGATGAACACATGGCTCAGAAGGCTATACCGGGATGGAAACATCAGAGATGGTCATGGAAGATGAAGGATCAGGAAATGCACCCGGACGAAAGCACACACTGCCTTCTCTTATACCTCTGCTTTTCAGGGTTATTTCTCTTAGGTACAGATCGCAGGGTGGGGCGGGTGGTGATTCCCTCTTCCTGGGCTACCTCTCTTCCCCTGCAGAGCTGGAGCCCTGCCTGATGGCTGGATGGAGGCCATGCAGGACAAGCTCCATCTAAAATCAATCCTTTCCTTTGCTTTGGCCTGGAAGACCGAACAGATTAGGCTCAATTTTCTTCATGTAGTAGCAGTAACATAAAAATCTGTCATAAATACGATTTTTGGGAGAAGAGATAGATTGTGCTGCAGCCTTTCTAGGAAAAAAACATGTCCTCATCACAGCATTTTTAGCTTTTTATTTCATGGAAGGTAGTACTCATTTCAAACTACCAGGCAATAGTGGTTCCAGCCTCTGAGCTAACGGGTCTGTAAAAAGTGACTTCATTTCTGTAGGCCTCAGTTTCCTGTGCATAAAATTGGAATTTGGATTAAAACGGTGCTAATTATAAAACTAAATAGTCATTGGATCTGTATTCTATGTTCTGGATAGCTATATTTGTGAACTATGACATTTAGCATATTCACTGACAATTTTATTTTTTCATAACACTATCCACTGTTTATGTCAGAAAACAGACTAAGACATTCAGTTAATAGTGCTTAAATAAATCACGTCTTTTTTTATTATTATACTTTAAGTTCTAGGGTACATGTGCATAACGTGCAGGTTTGTTACATATGTATACTTGTGCCATGTTGGTGTGTTGCACCCATCAACTCGTCAGCACCCATCAACTCATCATTTACATCAGGTATAACTCCCAATGCCATCCCTCTCCCCTCCTCCCTCCCCATAATAGGCCCTGGTGTGCGATGTTCCCCTTCCCAAGTCCAAGTGATCTCATTGTTCAATTCCCACCTATGAGTGAGAACATGCGGTGTTTGGTTTTCTGTTCTTGTGATAGTTTGCTGAGAA